ACACTGCCTTTCAATTTTCAAAAACAACCCCACGACACAGATGTTACTGTTGTATCTATTCCACAGATAGGGAAACAGAGACACAGAGAAGTTAACAAAGCACCTAAGGGGCAGGGATCACAGAGAAAATGGGAAATGGATAATTCCACTTCCCTAGTGTGGTGCCTGAGTTCCACGCTAGGCTTGGCAGATGGCAAGGAAACACAATATCCCTGGGCCTTTGCTGTGGTGGCACTATTCCTACCCTGCACCTCCCCCCCCCCCGCCCCCACACACACCCTTTTCTCCACACAGGGCGAATCTCTAACCCTCCTTCTCGCTAAAAAATTCTGTGACTATGGCAAAATCTAGAAAGACCATCCTTATGCCAGTTCTGGAGAGGCCTGAGCTTTGATGCATGAACAGTAGTCCCTCCTTATCCACAGGGGATATGTTCTGAGACTCCCCCACTTACCCCGGTGCCCGATGCCACAGAGGGTACTGAACGATGCACTATGTTCCTTCCCATGCATACACACCTACGACAGCATTTGACTTATGGCCACAAGAGCTAATGATAAAATTGAACAGTTACAACAACGTACTGAAATAAAAGTAATGCGAAGGTGGTCTCTCTCTCTAACTCTCCTATTGTGCTGTGCTGTGAGATGCTACAACGCCCACGTGAGGGGATGAAGGAAGGAGAATGCCATAGGCGTTGTGACATACAGTGAGGCTACTCTTGAGCTTCTGACGAGATGTCAGAAGAAGGAGCATCTGCTTCCGGCCCGTGGTTGACCACAGGTAACGGAAACCTCGGAAAGCAAAACCACGTATGGGCGGGGGCGGGGAGGCCAGGCTACTGTTTTCTCAAGGGACAGAGAAGGACGCTGAATCTTTTCCTAGCCACATGGGAGATGACGTTTCTGCTGTAGAACACAAATGTGATCCGTTTTGCCTTTTAGCAGCCTTTCTTTGATCTGTACGTTGGCTGCTGACTGGCCCCATCCACCGTCCTTCCCCAGCGGGCAGAGTCTGGGCCTGGGCGAAGCTAGATCACAATCCCTATAAATCATCACTTTCCATTCATGCTCATCCTGCTAGTGTCACAGCTCTGTCACGATCTTGATTAGTGCAGGAAAAAAGGGAGTCAAGATGAAGTGAGACGAATCTGTGCTGCCCAGGAAATACCAGATGAGTCGGTAAACTGGCCAGTTTCTGGCCACTTGGAAAGCAGATTTGAGCTGCCCGGGGGTCCTGGAAACACACAGCTCGGAGAGACTCTGGAGCAGCTGTCGCTCTCTTATAAAGCTTTTCGTGATCGTAGAGAGGAAAAACATATGTGCTGTCCAAGCTAAGCGGAGCCCATACGGTTGGAGATTTCGCATTTTGAAAAGCACAGAGAGGAGACTGTCTCCTGGTCTGGATTATCTTGTTTGCCAGTCAGTGAGCAAGAACTTGTCCAGACTGCCCAACAGGACATTTGACGTCTATCTTACCCTGGCTCGTCTCTGTGATGCTTTGTGGAATGTTCACATGCACTGTTGAAAGGGCAAAAGATTTGAAAGGAATTATCCACTTGGCTCCACATTACCCACTTTCTGCTAGTGCAGAAATGCCGTGATTAAAGATAGCCACATGTTAGGCACGGAGAGAGGCAAGTTTCTGAGAACTTACACCGAGGGAAGCGGTCCTCAAAGGATGGTCTGGCGACCCTGGGAGACCCTAAGAGCCGCCCCGGGGTCTGAGAGGTCAAAACTATTTTCCTAAAAACACAATGACATGGTTTGACTGGCTCCTTCTCATTCCTTCTCAAGCGTATAGTTGAGTTTCCCACAACATACATGACACAAGATATGGCAACGGATCGTATGCATAAACAGATAAGACATTCCAACCGTCCCTCATTAAGCCAGATGCTAAAGAGATTTGCAGCAAAGTAAAACGACCCTATTCTCGACTAATTCTTTGCTGAAAACATAACTTTTCAATAAAAATAATGTCTGTTAACATCCGGGTGGTATCTTGTTTGAAATAAACTGATAATTTTATCTTTTCAATTTCGAAGTTTCCGTTTCCAACATGATAAATATCGACTGATATAACCCACGTGAAGTATTTGGGGCCCTCCATCATTTTTGAAAGAATAGCAAGGTCCCGAACCCAAAAAGCATGAGAACCACCAACTTAGAAGAACCGGGTTATTTTTCTCTGGGCAGAAGCATGCCTTCCTTCTCCAGCTCCACAGCCAAGCATCCATCTGCCTGAGGGTCACCACCTTCCTGGTTTGGGTGCAGATTCTCCCCTTTATTGCCTTATCACCTGCCTTACCCCCAATCCTTACTGATGAAATGCCTTTGTTCTGCCCATGACGTGGGTCCAGGTGGTTCACAGTGGTTCATTCTCCTTGGCAAGGCAGAGAGAGTAGCATTCCTCTCCGAGAACCTCTCAGCTCTCAATCAGGCAGTGCCCAGATGCGTATGAGGACTGCCGATTTTGCCTGGACCCTCAATCAACAAATGCTATGACAGGGGCCGGAGAGAAAGTGAGAATTCATAAGGATTGTGATAGATGCACATCTATGGGTCGACAATGGGAGGGTGGTGCACGTAGACCCAGGGGAATCAGAGAGGACCCTGAGCTTGGGCCACAGAGGGAGCCCCGTGTCGGCGATGGGGGACACAAGATGCCGGCCCGTCACTGAGTGGGCGGACAGGACCACACAGATCGAGTGTCCCCTTCCATGCGACAGCGCAAGGCTACAGGCAGAGCCACTCTCTCTTTGGTTCCAGGGACCTCAGAACCTCCCTTAGAAACAAAGCTGGAGCACTGTCTTCCATCGCTCTCCCGCAAATCACAGAAAAATATTCGCTTCAACCTAATCCACCTGTAAACAATCACTGAGCTCCTCCTGGACACCTGGGTAAGTGCTGGCGGGAGGAAGTGCAAAGATTAATAAGAAACACTCTCTCCCTGCACTCCAGGAGCAGGGAAAAAATCGTTAATGGAGCTGCTTATTAGCAGCAAAATGATCAGACTTGAGTTTCAGCTCCTGTCTCTTCCCTGGTCTATTTTCTAGAGGGAATGAAAGTAGGCAGTGTGAGAAGGCAAAGCAGCCAAACAAAGTGGAGAAACTGAAGCCCTAAATACTGCACAAGACTGGATAATCAACGTCTAAAGTACAAGCAATGATTCTGCAAAAGTAGCCACTCTTTGTTTCTCCTTTACAAATGGTATTTCTTAACCTCACATTCCACTGTTGGCCTGGACAGAGACAACCTGATTTACTACCAAGCTTGAACACTCCCCACGTTTGACCTGGTTATGCTCAGGTTCCCAGGCAGGATTCCCCTAAGTGGCTCTTCAGAGGCATCCAGCCAGTGGGACACCCGGCCCAGAGGGCATCTGAGAGATGGAAAGGGACCTGGAACATTTCTGAATGGCAAAATGGCTTCATCTTTAAAGCAGGCTCTGGAATCATGAGGTCTATGTTACAATGAGCTGCCGAAAGGTAACCTGTTTATTCATCATGGCCAGAAGCACACAACCAGGGGGCTTTTCACCAGATACACGTGACCACCAGTGCCTTGAACTTGGGTGCTTGCTATTTGAAGCACGCAGGGGCCCGCCACAGCCAAATTTAATGTACTCGGTATGTGGCGACGAGGAAGACGACCCAAGGAGTGTTGTTGGAGAAGCATCTCTGAAGCCGTTTTACCCATCTCCTTCCCTGCCACTCCCCTGCCCGCTTCCCTGCCTCTCACCTCCTCCACCCCACCTCGATTGCAATCATTTCCATTCAGCAAGGTTTTTCGATGCTGGAAATGGTCTCACTGTAACCGTCTTCTAATCTTTTATGAAGCTTATCAAGATCATGTGTTTCCAAATCTCTTGTACTCTGAACATCAAAAGCCCATTAACTAATGAATTATATGTTTTTAAGGATTAGCTGTACCTAAAATATTAGAAAATCACTATTCCTTTCACACACAAAAAACGACATCTTTTCCTGGTGGTCATATGTTCTCTTTCTTCCTTCCTCTCTTACTCTCTCCTCTCTTTCTAGAGACCTTGTCATTCCCTCTCTCTGCTCAGTGATCACATTAGCACTCCATGCCCATTGGCCTACGGTGCAAACAGGAGAAGCTGATAAAATTCAGCAATCGATAAAATATTAAGCCGTTTGAAAAGTCTCAAAACTGGAAACGAAGGGGCGCCTGGGTGGCTCAGTCGGTTGAGCATCCGACTTCGGCTCAGGTCATGATCTCACAGTTCATGAGTTCAAGCCCCACGTCGGGCTCTGTGCTGGCAGCTCGGAGCCTGGAGCCTGCTTCCGATTCTGTGTCTCCCTCCCTCTGCCCCTTCCCCACTCATTCTCTGTCTCTCTCTGTCTCTCAAAGATGAATAACTGTTAAAAATAAAATAAAATAAAATAAAAAATTGGAAATGAAGAATGTAGCCCCTTCATTTCGAAAGCAGCTTAAAGGGCAGTGGGAAGGGCTTTTCTAGAAGACCATGATGGATTCGGAACCCAGTGCCGACGTGAACTGAAGCAATGAGGAACAACCAGCAAGGTTACCATGAGGATTAAATAAAAATAATGCCTGCAAAGCATTTGCCTCAATGCCTCGCACATGAAAAGTGCTCGGCAAATGATAGCTATCGTTATTATCAGGAAGTATTTACAACTGAGGACATAATTCAAAAGAGGAAGAGAATTAGAAAAACAGACACCATACATACCAGAGATTGTTTGTTAATCCATCTGTGTGTTCTATTTAAATTGGCCTGACAGTGGACAAAGCGCTTACATTAACTTTTCCGATCCCCGGAACAAACCTGTGAAAGTCGGTAGAACAGGTGATATTATCCCACTTGATAAACCAGGACAAGACAGAGGGCCTGAAAGCTCTTTTTTTTTCTTTTAAATGTTTATTCATTTTTGAGAGAGAGAGAGTGCAAACACGACCAGAGGAGGGGCAGAGAGAGAGGGAGACACAAAGTCCCAAGCAGGCTGCCGACGTTGGGCCCAAACCCATGAACTGTGAGATCATGGCCTGAGCCAAAGTCTGACGCTTAACTGATTGAGCCACCCGGGCACCTCAGGGCCAGAAAGCTCTTGAGATGGTTTTGGTGTATGGCTTAACCGTCATTAAGTGGAGCAAGGTGGACCAGAACAGGAGCCACATGGCCCAAGGCCATGAAAGGGAGCTGTGTTCTCCATTTGGCTGAAATCCTCAGTCTTTCTAATTTATGGTCCTGCCTCACCTTAAGAACCAGTCTCTAAAGGATTTAAGATTTAAATGCCAAAGTCAATGCAATAAAAAGCTAACCCCCCGATTATCCAACTGTGGTTCAGTTGAATGACTCAAGGTGTTTCCTCCCACCTACCAGGCAGGAGTTACAGGCACCCTTCCCTACCCTATCCTTCCCTTCCCAGAGCAGTGCACCCCGTGTTCGGGATCGGGGACCCTGCACATGGTTATAGGAGGAAAGCCATGCAAGTGCAGGGACTTGACTCCCAGCAGCCCAGCTGCTGTGTTGCCTTCTGTGGCCACAGCCCCAATTTAGCACAGAGGATTACAGGCTGGCAGCTGTGAATTATGCAAGCCAGATTGACTCCCCGTGGCATTCCACATCTGGAGAAGCCTTCCTTGGGAATCGGTACAGACGCATCCAGGCATTCTCGCTGCTATTATGATCTTCAAAGCTACCTAGAGAATATTCTCTTTCAAATGCAAAGATTAAGAGAAGTCGAAAATGCATGGCATAGTTATTAATTTTAATTAAAAAAAAAAAAAACCACTCTATAGCCAATGCTGGTATCCAAAAAGACACTATTTTTTTTAATGGCATGAAATACAAAAGACATAAAAAGCACCATTGAAAATGCTGCTACACTATCAAATAATTTATACTTCCTCCCATGTTATCTAAAAATAAATGACACTTTTGAGGCAATCACATACATTAAATATGGGCAATTTGTTTCCCAAACCTTAATTCCAGGGTTTTAAATAGGCAAATGAAATAAAGAAGATAATCGGGATGACTTCTGTCCCATAACATGCGTAGGAGAAATAGGCGGGGTGCAGGGAAGAAAAAGGTTTTAGCACAAAATATTCAGCCATCTCAATGGAAAAGAACCTTCCACAACACACATCAATAGATCGGGCTGCCTCTGCTTGCCCTGCCCAACTGGGGACTTTGCTATAAAATCTGATTACTGTTATCAGCAGGATGCTGATTTGGCTGTCCTGCTTCAAGGAGAGTCATCCAAATTACAGATCAGCCAAAACACAGGCTGGGTGGTGCTGGCAGATGTAGACAGAATGCTCTGGAGTCTCTCCTTATCCTAAGGTAGGGAGAAGATTCTGCGGCCTGACTCAACACAAACTGTTCATACAGGTGACAAATACCAGACTCCCGGAACGGGAACATGCTGACCTCCCACATCGTGGAAAACTAGAGAAAATTCAAAAGGGGGCCGGTGCTTGGTTCTGGGTGCTAGGATGCACACCCCACGAGTTCCTCCCTGGAGAGAAGCAGTTTGCTTTTTGCATCCTTTTGTTAAAGGACCTTTGGGAAATGTGTATTTAGTACCTAATGTGCAGAAGGTCCTGGGCTGTCCCCTCAGAGATATGGAGAAGCATATCCCAGTGACATGCCTGCCAGGGAGACACACAGAAGAGGTCAGAAGGCACTTGGTGAGAAATGCCAAAGGCCTACAAAGTTCTAAGTGCTCCTGGAGCTGCAGGGGGAGTTGGGGCTTGAGCCAGGTGGGAAAGCATCAAGGAAAAGGAGGCGTTTGACCCACATTGAGTTCTTCCCTTAAGAGAGGAGCAGAGCCTCAAGTAGAACATGACTTTAGTTAGCTTCTCCCAGTAAACGGAGAGAAGGGCCAATATAGTCGACTGGCCGTTTTGCAAAAGATGATCGTGCAGCCCCAGGCTGGGTGTGAGGGATGTCACTGCTAGAAGAGGTGGAGGCTTCAGGAAGGGGTTCTGGTTCTTGCTGTTGACTATGTAGGAAGGGACGGAAGGAAGGGAACCGGAGGGCAGCATTCATAACCAGCCTATCACTCACACCGAAGATGTGCCACAGTGGGAACTCTTGGGGAGTAAACCCGGGCTCAAAAATGCTACTCCACTCTTTCTGGCTGGGTGGCCCTGGCTAAATTACAGTCCTCTGTCCCCAAACCTCAATTCCCTGGACTGTGAAATGGGGCAGTGCCTGTCACAGTAGGGAGCTCATTAGCATGAAATAATGCATGTATATCCTGGAATACAGTATCTTGCGTACAAATGGTCAATAAATGCTACATCTCACCTGACTCTTCTCACATCATCTTGCCACGCACTGGAATAAAGACTGGGATCACCAGCCATGGATTTTTCTGGAAAATGCTTAATTTCACAATTCTTATCTTGTTGGTACATATGACAGGCAATATGGCCAACCTGAGACTTAGCAGATGCATTCTTTCCATTCATAGGTAATAATAGCGCCTATTTAGTATCTTATTGGATCATCCATTCTCTAGACATTTTTGATGCGGGGGGTGGTAGGACAGAGAGGAGGTGAGAGAGGAGAACTTAGGAAAAAAGGAACTATGTCCCCCTCTGGTGTGTGCTCAGTGAGTAAGCCCTGCCAATGGCCCAGTTTCCTAGGAAACTCTGCTTGGAGACCTCATACAAGAAACGTATCGGCAGTTTGCTTTGTAGAAGACACACACAACTGGCAGTCATTTTGACAATGTGTCACAAGGCCAACGGCGTGCAGAGTACCTGAATCAAACAAATTTTTGAGGTGAATATTCACTCAGGTGGCAGTCAATTTGTTGTTGTTTTTTTTTACATTTAAAACACTCTATTCAGTTGACTCAAAACGTAAGACTTTTCTTTCTCATCATACTCATCCACCATGGCAAAGGGTGTCATTGTACTTAGTCTAGTTGGCATCAATATTCTTTACTCACTATTGAGCTCTTGCTCAATGCCCAGGCTGCAAGACTCTCCTCCCTGCATGCTCGAGAGAGGCCCTGGGCTCCTGCTCTCCTGGACCCGGACAGACGCCCCTCATCTCATTTCCCTCGAGAAGACTCCTCCAAGCTGCAGCAAAATCCTTTGGATTCAGGGAGTGACAAGGCAGGTACATCTACCCTAATCACAGAAGCTTTTTATTTAATCATCTCGTCTTTGTTCTAGAAGTCCCTATTGCCTACCCACATCTCCTAAACAGTTTACACAAAGCTCTGTTAGTTAATTAACAGCCTGCCTAGCCCCACAGCCAAGATCCTTAAGGAGGCGGAAGTAATGCTCAGAACAGACCAAGGTTTTGAGAGGTTTTATGACAGTGAGTTTGGTCAGTCTAGTCGAGAAGAGCAAATGAGAGTTGTGCTCTCTCCTCTGGTATCAGAGTATAAATGCACCTGCTGCCTCCCTGTCCCTGGATGAAAACAGGTGGTTTCTTAAGCATAGTGTTCCCTCTCACCTGTGTCCCAGTGACTTCACGGCTTCTCTAATTCTTGCTCTCTTTTGTCAAGATGGAATCTCAGTTAGGTTCTGAGACACCTTTTTGTAAGAGCAGTATTATCCTGCGAATCCTTGCATGATATCTTGACGAAGAGCCCCTCCTTGATAAACTTTCTCTGAAACCATCAGTGGATGAAAAGCAGAACAACCGACTTCAGTCAGAAACCTTAAGACTCAAAAACTCACAGAGTGGGATGAACACTAACATGTGCTATGATGTAAGGCTGAGTGGACATCAAGGGCTCAAAGAGCACAGCTTCCCGAGGGAGGAGGGTAAGGAAGCCAGGCGGGAGACAAGGGTGCCCAGAGGAAGCAAGTCAGGAGGCAATTCGGAGCCTTCAGAAAACTGGAAGCTCAGTAAATGGGTGAATGCTGTGTGGAGTCAGGGGACGCTGAAGGAGTAAGGGCTATGTCATGGACTATGCAGGAAAAATAGGCATGGCACCTCCGGAGAAGGGAGGGGGTGCAAAGAGCTGAGACGGAAGGGGAGGGTCTTTGAGGTTCTCAAGGGAGAGTCTGTTTCAGGGTATGGTTTGTGACTTCAGCAATATACAGCCAACACTCGGGAAATGTTTGCTGAGTCAGAAAGCCCTAAAACTCGGAGTGATGAGGACAGAAAAGCTCTGGGCTCTGTCCTAAGCGCTTTACGTGTACTAGCTCATTTAATTCTCTGAGGTTGGTACCAATATGGCAGGTGAGGAAACTGAGGCATAAGCAGGTAAACTAACTCGAGGGGGATCACGCTGGTAATTGACAGTGGCATCTGGATTAAAAGCCAGGCATTCGGGCTGCAGATTCTGTGAATTCAACCACAACAGCACACAAACCACAGGGAATAGAGTCCTCTGGGTAATTTCTCGATCACTTTTTGAAAATATACCCACCCCAACTCCCCAACTGAAAGTATCTGTAGGAATTATGCTAGTGCTTAAATTATAGCTTACTAAATATGTGAGTTTTCAATTTTTTTTTTTTTTTTTTGTCTAGGAAATACACATGGGGAAAGAAGGAAAATTATGGTCTGGTTACCACGAACTGAATTAGGCAGAGAGAGGGTTTTTTGCTGTCTTTTTGTCTGCTTGTGGAATTCTCTATAACAGGTACTTTCCACTCTCATGATTTCACTCTGACTGAGAGAAATAGATTTGGTATCATTTCTCAATTGATTGAATTTTTGCTGAGAAACAAGACATTTTTTAAAAGGCCAATGACTTATCCCATCTACCTCTAGTTGTTTTCCTGGGAAGTCAATGGTCTTGTCCATTTTCAATGTTTTCAATTATTTTTAAAATTTTTGGTTAACTAGACATACCGTAAGCTGTACCATTTTAACCATTTTTAAGTGCACAGTTCAGTAGCATTAAGCACATTCATACTCTTGTGCAGCCATTACCACCATCCGTTTCCCAAACTCTTTCCATTTGTCAAAACTAAAAACTGTACCTTCCTGTTAGTAAGGAAGTTTCCCTTTAATAGACAAAATTAAAAGAAATAATTAGGCAAAGAAGAAAGGGGTTAGTTTGCTGAATGAAGTCAACCCAAAGAAAACAATTATATTCAATCTCTTCTCTATAGGACAGGTTTAAAAACAAAACAAAAAAGCCAGATCTTTGTCACTGAAATTGACAGCTTAATCTTCATATAATTCAATTCTCTTTAAGGTGGTATAACTTATCGGGGCGCCTGGGTGGCGCAGTCGGTTAAGCGTCCGACTTCAGCCAGGTCACGATCTCACGGTCCGTGAGTTCGAGCCCCGCGTCAGGCTCTGGGCTGATGGCTCAGAGCCTGGAGCCTGTTTCCGATTCTGTGTCTCCCTCTCTCTCTGCCCCTCCCCCGTTCATGCTCTGTCTCTCTCTGTCCCAAAAATAAATAAACGTTGAAAAAAAATTTTTTTTTAAAAAAAGGTGGTGTAACTTATTGTAGCCTAGTAAAGAGAAAGTAGTTTAAAGTATTAACCATGTGGGTTATCTTTGTGACTGACGCACAGCAGGGCTAACATTCTCTTCGAAAGGCATTACCCCGCTGGACCCCACGCCCCAGATTCCGATTCAATTGATTACCAGTATCTCTTGAAGCTTCCCTGAAGAGCCTCATGTGCAACCATGGAGGAATCCTAAAGTTTAAAGCAGTGATATGGGCTGAATACCAATTTGAAGCCATGGAGTAAATATGCATAAATCAGCCTTCTGGTTTCTCTTTATTCGGAGACCACTTTGAGAACGTGATGACGTTTTGGATCATACCCTAGAAATGCATGTCTACTCACACATGCTCACCAAATTCATATCCCTTTGCAGGGGCCTTTGGTCCACTAGAAGCCCACCTTTACCTGCTGAGTGTGGAATAAGCAGAGACAGCAGCCAAGGAGGAAACCCTGGAGAACACCAACAAAGAATGAGCCAGCTGAGCAACCCAGGAGACTGGACGCTGCAGCCAGAGAGGTGGGAGGAGAGCCAACTGAAGGCAAGAAACGGGAGAATTTTTAAGAGAAAAGGGTAGTGCGGACTCAGATGCGATGAACTGGCCCAACAATGGCATTGGAGATGGTTAAGAGGAGACAGCAGGACCTATGAAACCATCAAGCATGCTCTGTTGGAAGACAGGCTGGAGGGCAGATACCATAGATGTACAGAGGTGAGTAGGACAGAGAGGCCACTGGAAGCAGCCATTGGGATTAAACTGCAAAGAGGTATAGATGTCAAAGGAGTCTCAGGACAGTGGTGGGTGCAGGGCCAGAACGCTGAGGGCAGGAATGAGGAGATGGGGTTTAGACATGATAAGTGCTCATGTGAACAGCTACTGGACCTCCTTCTCCAGATCCCATCTGCCTTCCTTCCCACGCTTGCCTGTCTGCCTCTATTTCCTGGTTTTGCCTGAGGCACACTCGACTCCCTGACCTCCAGACTCCAAAATATCTAGCCATCTCTCTCCCTAACCCCACACCTTCATCCAGTTGCCTGGTTCTCATGAATTCTACATCTGGTTGCTCTCAATACTTTCCCTAATGTCCACATCCTACCCCTTTCTCCCTTGCGCAAGCTTCATCCACCCATGACTCTGTTTTAACTCCACACCACTTCCAATGTGTTTTTTATCTTCTGTTACTCTTAGAGATGGGCCATCTGAAGTTCTTCAGGTCAGATTCTATTTTCCAAAAATGGCCTACAACAATATTTCCCATCCCACATGATCTCCTACAATGTGGTAGTGACGCTCTCCCTCCCCTGAATCTGGATAGAGTGTGAACCAGGGAGGGCAGAGAGAGAGGGAGACACAGAATCCAAAGCAGCTTCCAGGCTCTGAGTTGTCAGCACAGAGCCCGACGTCGGGCTCGAAGTCCTGAACCATGAGATCTTGACCCAAGCTAAGTCAGACGCCCAACCGACTGAGCCACCCAGGCACCCCTAAATTTGCTTCCTGTTAAAATCATTCCATTAGATGAGCTCTATGAGCATTTATTTTAGCACATATTTAAGCTAATGTGTCCTGCTCTAACAATGTGTAGTTCAAAGTTAAGTAAGTGAGCTCTCATTCTAGTTAAAACAAGACTTTGCGGGACTCAAATTTAAAACAAAGTCCTATGTTCTGAGGAATAATGTTTTGAGGGAAAAAAAGCCACCATAAATTTGGGTAGGTACTCTGGAAAATGTGTATAAAGTAGAGGAATGATTCTGTGGTCTTTTTTTTTTAAGTTTATTTATTTTAAGAAAGAGAGAGAGCATGAGCAGGGGAGAGACAGAAAGAGAGGGAGACAGAGAGAATCTCAAGCAGGCTCTGCACTGTCAGTGCGGAGTCCGATATGAGGCTTGAACTCCCTAATGGCGAGATCATGATCTGAGCTGAAATCAAGAGTTGGGGGCTTACCCAACTGTTACCCACGCACCCCTCTTGTGGTCCTTTAGAAAGACAGAGCTCAGGGTGGTAAGGACGATCTCCAGGTTATAAGAGGGAAAATCTGAATATAGGGCCTGGCTGAGAGGAAACCATAGTACTCCAGGGGAGATTTAATGATGATGCTTATAACTGCTCTTAGTACATTTAGAAATGATGTGAATACTACTAGCAAAGGTAGAAGTGACAAGAGTTACGGAGGCAGTGAATATACTGTGAACATCAGCTCTACAGTGTGAGGGACCTGAGTTCAAACCTAAGCCTGTCATTAAGTAGGCTGTGTGACCTTGAGCAAGTTACGAAACCTCTCTGTGCTTCAGTTTCCTTCGTAAGAGAGGTGTTGGAAGAATAAGATCACATAGAAGAAAAGTAAAAAGCCAGCTGATTAGAGTGTTCCTAAAGACACTTCCTCAAGGACATCTATGTCCGTTATGGTTGGTAACTGATTGGATGCGGGGGTTGGGAGTGAGGAATCATTATATCCTAAATAATAATAATAATAATAATAATAATAATAATTTCCTCTTAGAACAGGTCATTCCAGACATCTGCCTTAAAAAAAAAATCATGTCCTAACCTTTTTTCCCCACAGTTTCAAAAAGTACATTAGAAGAAAATAGAATACAATTGCAAGGTGGTTAATTAATTGGGGATTATTTCTAAATGACATTCTTAAAAAGCTGTAAATTACATTTGATGAGAGGAACAAAGGATCTATTTCCTCCCTGCCTCTGCTACTGGGAGAAACCACCACGTACATCAGTCATTAAATAAAACAAATCTGGTGTCCAAAATTATCAGGCTGGAAAATCACACCGCTGAATAAAATGTTCACCTGAAACCCAAACTCTAAACTCTCGAAGGCCAAGGGCAATAAGAGGGGTGCACTGAGATGCGAAACCAGAAAATGGATAAACTTCTTATAAGGAAACCTGGTTCACAGAGCAAAATCGAGGACTGCAGGATGGGAGCCTGGGTGCTGATCCCACACGGTGGTCATGCCTTCTCCAGGCTTCCCTTCCTTGCTCCAAAGTGCCCTCCTTCGTGGCAGAAAGAGTTTTCTAAAGCATAGCTCTGCTATCCCTCCCTGGATGGTTACTCGGCCCCGCAAATTCAAGCACGAAAATCCTGCCAAGGAAGGGAAGCAACACTGATCACACTTTCCACTTTATAAAAGAAAGAATTCCAGGGGCGCCTGGGTGGCGCAGTCGGTTAAGCGTCTGACTTCAGCCAGGTCACGATCTCGTGGTCTGTGAGTTCGAGCCCCGCGTCGGGCTCTGGGCTGATGGCTCAGAGCCTGGAGCCTGTTTCCGATTCTGTGTCTCCCTCTCTCTCTGCTCCTCCCCCGTTCATGCTCTGTCTCTCTCTGTCCCAAAAATAAATAAACGTTGAAAAAAAAAATTAAAAAAAAAAAAAGAAAGAATTCCATAAAATAAAGTACTTGATGGTACTCGGGAGACAGCACACAATACTCGCTCTTCTGTCCCTTGTTTTGCACTTGTGTATGTCCTATAGATCTCTCCATATTCATATGTGGACATCGTTCTCTATCGTTTTCTCTCTTTCATTCTCTCTTTCATTCTCTCTCTCTCTCTCTCTCTCTCTCTCCCTCCCTCCCTCCCTCCCGCTAGGTGATACTCTACTGTGTGCATATCACAGTCTATTCAACTAGCTCCCCATTGCTGGATGCTTGGTTGCTCCCAACCTTTTAGGATTACAGCACCACCCAGGCAAAGAGCCGATGCAGGTGTGGCTTCATTGGGCGGCCGGAAGTACGGTTGCACTGGCATTTCCACCAGATAATGCCAAGGTCCCCTTTGCAGAGGCTGCCCAGCCTCCTACCCTCCGGAGTAAAATAAAATTCTGATTTCCATTCTGAAGGTTTTGCTCATTTTCATGTTTTCCTTCTGTGTTATTGTGTGGGTCCTTTGAAAACAGACATATTTATAGAGGGGCTGATCAGAGACTATATCGTCACTACTAAGGCAAAAAAGATCAAAACGCTTCATTTCACTGCTTGGAAGGATCAAATCGGTAGTACAGACAGCAAGTGTGAGACTGTATAGGAGCTGGACGTTCTCGGCAGACGCATCGGACTTAGAAGATTTTATGGAAGAAAAGGGACTTGACGAGGCCCTTGAAGAAAGCAGAGGTGCTAGGTAAGCAGAGGAAAACCTTCAGGTTCGCAAGCAGAAATATACATAAAGTGCACAGGGAAGGCTGGGCAAGTGGACTGCAGCAAGGTAATTGAGGACAGATCCTAGACGTGTAACCGGGTCATGAATGCGGAGAACCTTACATTCCATGGGGCAAAGTTTGGTCATTCTGATTTAGGATTTCTGATTTAGGCTGTAGGATGGGTGGACTGTCCATCTTGGTTTGCCCAGGGCCGTCCTGGTTGGTGTCTGTTGTCTTATTATCTCTATCACGTTCAAGAATCCCAGTTTAGATGCTAAAAGTATATAACGAGTCATCCTGCCAATAGAGGCCACCAAAAAATCTGTGGATGAGAGAGAAAGATGACGAAAGAAATATTTCAGCCAAATAAACGTGAGTACCAAACACACAGACCGGAAGAAGGGACAGAGACTGGAGGAGGCAGCCGACCAGGACGTCACCGGGCAGGGTAGCAGGAATGCGGAACCAGGAGGAAGGACGGTAGGCCTGACTAGTTTGAAACAAAGCTATCTGCTTAACCTCTCTGGAGCTGCCATTTCCTCATTTGTAAACTGAAGATATTGGATGAGTCGCAAAAGGGCCCTTTCAGTTCTAACACTCCAGGGTCGAGGAGATTCTCGCTCCGGTCTAGGTGCAGGGACATGTGGACGAGTGGAAAAACAAGATGAAGGGATGGTGAAGGGCAGGGAACAGTCAGCATAGCTGAGCACGAGTGACAAGTACAGGAGAGTTAATGCCTTACTGCCACTGATGGATGAAAGGCACGCAGACGCCTGAGCTGAACTGTGACCCAGTCCGTGAGGCTAGCTTTACACGTGCTGTGTTTGAGATGACCAGCAGGCCACTGAGGTGGCTACTTAAAGACACCTGTAAGAGGTGTCCTGTAAGGTGTCCTGTAAGAGGACACCGTGATGTAACCAAGCCAAATGGAAACGAGGGTCGGGCTGCTTGTTCTCTTGTTTGCCAGATTTCTGGCGACTGGCCTCGGTGAGGGGAGGTGTTACTCACTCATGGTGCTCAGGTCTGACGCAAAGACCAGAGGTGAATAAATGAAGAGTGGGAGCCTGAGCTTCAGGCCAGATAGTCCGGGAAAGAAGGGTAGGTTCTCAATGGCAAGATGAGTTGACAGTCCCAGCCACTGTCAAAAACTCTGAAGGAAATGGACTGCTTCTATTCAGAATGTATTTAAGGTAAAGCCATGCCTATATCTGGATGGCTTTTGAGTCTTAGCAAGTACTCTATTCCTTCAGGTTTGCTTCCCCAATGACAAAAGGGATGTGCAGCCACAACTCCTTACCATTAAAGAGTCTTTGGTTAATGGAGGGTCCTACAGGTAGATTTAGGTCCACAGGATGTCTGTTTCTCCTCATAGGCAATAAGATTGGCTCCTAGACTATCTAAGTTCCCTTACCCTAGATCTCATGCGTCCAGGTCTCAAAAGATCATTGAAGATCATCCTTACTAGCCAAGCCTGATGCAGCTATAAATTATGTCGAACAGAAAATGGGCTTTTAAATAATTCCTTGAACAAATGCTCCATGAGCACCAGCTTCTTAACAGAAGATATTGGGGAATGAAAAGATTTTCCCCCTAGGCTTCCACTACCCAGTGATGAGATCAGAAGCAGATAATTAAATCACCCGGGGGCATGTTGCTCTACATAAATTCAAAACCACAAGGTAAGAGTTAAAATATTGCAATTGTGTTCAAGCTGAAAGAATGGGAAATGGCTTTTTTCCCCTCCTTGCGAACGTTCATGCGCAAACTTTTCCTTCTTAAAAAAGAACGTTTTCAACTGAAAAAGAAACACTAAAATCATGTGCGAATGAGTCATGAAACTCCACATTTATTAAAGTGTTCCCACATGATCACGAGCTTCTGTAATTCTGAAATAGGATGACAAGTCGCCTGGGGCTTGAGGATGTGTCTCATTCACTCACTCAGCAGATACCTGACACATCCATGACGCTGAAGTCAAGTGAACATTTCTGATATGGCAGCTTCTCTGTGTCTAGAACTGACGGTAACCCAATGGTTTCATGCTCACTGTAACAGCGCACTGAGATGTTAACAGGAAGTGACCAAAGAAGAGGAAAGAAAGAAAAAACGGGGCATCTTTTACAAGCCCCACTGCTCTGTCTGAGAAATGTCCACTCCAGCTGTCAGGGACTTAAATACCAAAGGAAAGGTAAATTGGATTAGGTGCATTTGGAAGAGAGTTCCAGTAAGATGCTTGGTAACTTCTGATTACATTTAATGGCATTACACAGAATCTGCTTCTAGAAAATGGGGTTTGCATACCGCAAGTTGCATTTATAGATCTTGTCCTTACAGGAGGTATACCTGAGTGCAGGGCCTAGATGCATGCCGCTTGCAAAGAAAGAAAGGATGTCGGGAAATCAGTCAAATCCTCCACGAGGCCTACGAAAAAGAGTACGCAAAAGGGGTAGGGGTGGAGTGGGGATAAATCAGGACTGGGTTTGGGGTTTTTGTTTTTCTATAAAAGATCCTTTCTGAACTTGAATCATCCAGCTTGTCATATTGACTGTCTACAAGATCAATTCTTTTTTTTTTTAAGCGTATTTATTTATTTTTAGACAGAGAGAGAGAGAGAGAG